AAAAAAAAAAAAAAGAAATATCAGACCATGTCATTCCTCTCCTCAAATTCCTCCAATGGCTTTTCAGCTCAGACTAAAATCCAATATCCTTATCAGGGGCTACAGGCCTCTGGAACCTGCCATCTCTTCATCCTCCCACTGACTTGACTTCCCACCTACTCACTGAGCTCCTCACTGGATCCCGTTGCTACACCTCAAACACGTCTCAGGGCCACTGCACTTTCTGTTCTCTTCACTTAGAAAACTCCTTGGATATCAAAATAATTGCACCACATTTCAATTAGTTTTTTTTAAATAAACTTCACCTTCTCAGAGCATTCTCTAATCATCCCATACAGAGCAGTATTTCTCTAATCCACAGTTCTTTATTACCTTACCCAGATTTGTTTTTCTTCACATCACTTCATCATAACCTAATATAGTTTATATTTGTTTTTGCTTATTGTCAGTAATATAACTCCCCCTCCCAGACCAAAAGGTAAGCTTCATGATGGCAGGCACTTTGTTGGTCAGCTTTATTTATTCTCTCTGTATCCTCAAAAGCTGACAGAGTATAAGCGTGCAATAAACATTTGTTAAATGAACTACAAAACGCCAGAGGTGAGAGGAAGACTGAAGTTTCAAGAAACTCAAATTAATAAAGAATGACTCAATTTGTGGGTATGGTGTGGAACAAATGACTCAATCTGTGGGTATGGTGTGTGTATGTGTGTGTGTACTACATGTACGAGGGAGAGTGAAAAATGAAGCCTCAAAGATAAGCTATGGCAAATCATGAAGCAACTTGTACCATGTTAAGGAATTCTGTTTTCTTTTCTCAGAATAAGAGGGAACCACTAAAAGGTTTTTAAGCAGGAAAAGGTATGAATAGACTGCAATGTAAAGATGGGTTTGAGAAGCCGAAGACTACAAAAGTAGGGACACCAGTTGTGGGGTTCTGAGAGGACTGTGGCTTGAATTAGAGTAAAGAAAAGGGGGGGTGAAAGAAAATGAGCAAATTTAAGAGATATAGGAAGTAAACTTGACTGAGTTTGGTATTTTTCTGGATAGTGATAACAGAATATCGAAGAGACAGAAAGGCACAACTAAAAATTTCAAATATAAAAGGCTTGTAATTTCTGTTAACTCACGTTAGGTAAGCATCTGCAACTGAAATGGTCAACAGAATAAAATTCTTAGCATCACTATTCTTAAAATAAATTTTGAAACATTAAAACTACAAAAAAGTTTCAAAAAGTTTTCATGTCATACAAGAATAAATTTAAAAAATCCATTGGCAGCTCCTTGGAAGGGCAATCTGAGGTTAGACAAAACGCAAATGCTGATAAGAAATATGTTCTCTTTTCTGCAGTGACTCTGACACCCCTTAGTCACATTCCACTGAGTTAGGGCGATGACTCTGTTCTACAATTCTCAATTCACTATGAGGGCATCTTAAATAATACATTTCAAAATAACTGCTGGTCTCTATATCATTCCCATTATAACTTTTACACGAACAGCGAGAAAAACATCAGAATTAGCCAAATTCAATATGTGAATTCTTTTCAGAAGATCAAGACTGGTCCATCTTTTTGATCTAAAAATATTTTTTTGAAAATATTTAAGCAATGATAAACTAATGAGCCTAAACTCATTATAAACTAAAATACTGGATTTTTTTGTAAGGGCCAAACCAATTTGCTTAAAAAGAATAACCACGAGTTGGGAAAGAACTTATATTTTCTCCAATTTGAACTAATTCATCCCTTTTATAATCAGCATTTAGAAGGAATAACACATAAACCTATACAACTATAAACCAATAGTACTCACACAATGCCAAAAAGCTGCATCAAACTTTTATGGAACAATTATGTGCTGGCATTACGCTAAGCATTCTTCATGTATCATCTCATTTAATTTCACAATAACTATATAGGAGTTTAACGAGGTTCCAAACTTATAGATGAGGAAATGCAGACAGTAAAAAGCCACAAAATGGGATTCAAATCCAGAACTCATCTCTCAAATACTATGCATTCTGTCTCCCCAAAAACTATTTAAGTAAAAACCCAAATCACTTGATATTTCAAGGATTGTAAAGCTTCTGTTTTGTTTAAACCTTTACCTGGGTACCATCACCAGAAATGTACAACAATGTTCAGTTTAATTAAAATAAATTCCAATATAGCATCCATGTTACAATAAACTTATGTAATGAAATGAACAGGAATAAGAAATTACAAGGTTAAATCACCTTATAGTACCCATACCTTAAAGTATTTTTACTCCATAATTTTTAATTCTAAGAAAGTTTTATTCCTTCAGAGGTAGTAATTAATAACAATCCTAAAAATATTTCCAAAGGAGATAAATTAATCATCAAAAGTGTTATTTTCCTTTAAAATGTAAATTACGTGCAATTTTTAAAAAAGTTTTCTGTCAATTTTTATCTACTGCCACCTTTTAATATTCAAAGATGAACAATTTTAAAACCAAAATGGTCCTTAGAGGTCATTTGCCCCAACTCTCATTTTGTAAATGAGGAAAAAGACAAAGAGAAGTTTACTAACTTTCTGAAAGACACATAACTAGTTACTAACACAGCTTCTTATTCAATGCTCTTTTAGAAGAAAAGTAGCTTACAGAATGATTAGAATAATCTAATAGGTAATAGTTTTAATTATTAGACACTGGTCTATTTGCTATATAAGCAGAACTCATTTGCTTAGTATTATATGAGCTTAATATTTTTGGCTACACATAGCAATAAAAATCTTAATGTTAAATAACTTTTTGTGTTTATGGAACTAACAGTCTAGTATGCTGAGAAAAAAACCCTTTTCTATACAGCTTTTCAATGTTGCATAATTATTAAGGAAAAGGAGAAAGATTATGTGGTTTAATAGTGCACAAATATAGATTTTAGTTTATATTTAATCTGTTTGTTTATATTCCTCATAAGATCTATCGAACAGAATTTACATGAAATTCTTTTCTTCCAAGGAGTTAATTTTGTCAAGTAAAAAGAAAATGTTTATGACTTGTAAGTTTATCTGTAGAATAGACTATGTGGGGCTAAAGAACAGCAGATAAATTTTTGTTGGACAGAATAATAACAGTATTCCTAGTTTTTTCAATAGCAAGTTAGGGTCTACATTTCCATATATTTTTACTAATATAAAAAATATTTTAGGGGCTGGCCTGGTGGCATAGTGGTTAAGTTCGTGCGCTCTGCTTCAGCGAGCGGGCTTTGCGAGTTTGGATCCCAGGTGCGGATCAATGCACTGCTTGTCAAACCACGCTATGACGGGCACCCCACATATAAAATAGAGGAAGATGGGCACAGATGTTAGCTCAGGGCCAACCTTTTCCACCAAAAAAAATAAACAAACAAATTTTAATGACTTAGAAAACCAATCATTTATTTTTCACTGAAAAAGATAATATTCTGGTAGTAGTTCGATCATCATTTCTCAAGCTACAAATCATCATTCTAAAGTTACTAAAGGGTTCTGTAACAACAAAGAAAAGACAAAGGGAGGGGGGAGGAGAGAGGGGGGAGAAGGACAATGGAAGGGATGGAAGATGAAAACACAGAAATGTCTGGGATTATTTCTTATGAGATGTCATCCTCCAAAAGTACTTTCAGTGTCTTATCTAAGACCCCCAAATATGAACTTTAATAGTTTTTATTATCTTAGAAAAAATATTACGAGTTCAAGTGTGAAAAGTGCCTAGAATGGTGGTGGTACATTAGTAAAAGTTAGCTCTTATTTTTCTAAGAGAAAATTTTATCATTATTATGGGAAAATTTCACCATGAAACAATCTTTCTATGGGAGACGCTACGTTAGGAGAGTACTTGGAAACCGTAGGCAACTCAAATAACGTGCTCCTACTAATACAGTTCACCCAACACAAATATCAGACGTACAGACTTCTGTACCGTCGTTCCTTACATACAATGAAAAACTGCTCCAAAAACACAAAGAAAGAAAACTTTCACCACCCTACTGATAACGTATCTACATTCTTATCCTATAACAGAATGATATAAAGGCAATAACACTTTTGAAAAGTAGGTCACTAATTGAGTTTGCTTCCCTCACAACATTTCCTTCACAAAATATAAACAGGCATTCCCATGTAAGAGTTTGAGCAATGTCTAGGTCTATTATACTACAGTAAATGAGTTATAAATTATTTTTATATTTTGCGGTTAAATAAAATTTCTAACAAATAATAACCTTTTTTTATTAACATAAACATTACAATAATTTAAAATTAAACTGAAAAAGGGGTTGAGGCCCAAATCTAAGATTTGGAACTTATTACTTACTGCAGGTACCAGTAATTTCTTCACTTCCTCAACGGCTCTCTTTAGTTTGATCTCTGCTCTGTTTTGAGCGTCTTCCACAGTGATTAGTACGTGTAAATCTTCATTGAGATGCTCCCAATTGGGCTTGCCTCTATTTTGCTCCTCCTAAAAAATTTACAAAGTACACTATTACAAATTTTTTCTTTTCAAAGACAGAGTATATCTTTCACAATACTAACCTGTTGCCAAGTACTTAAGCTATGTTTGCATTATTCTTCTATGATGACATTATAAATCTTTTGAATTATTTTCCTGGCAAAAAGCCTGGGTGTTACTACTGGATCAAATGATAGCTAATTCAAAAAATATTTATTGAGCACTTCCTATGTACCAAGAATGGAGTCAGATACTAAGGATACAACAGTGAGCAAGGCAATCCCAACCCCTGCAGTGTTCTTATGCACTAAGAATCTTAAGTATGGTGTCATCCACAGGTTATCAGGAAAAGCATGGTATTATTTCTATATTTTACTTACGAGTAAATAGAAAGTTATCAAGGTTAATTTAAGTAAGTCACTTGTCAAGGTCACATAACCAATAAGTTGACAATTTAGGAGCTGAATCAAATTCAGTGATCTTTTCAATTTGTTACAACTATTCTTAACAATATTGGCTAAATTCAAGATGAGGAAAAGTATTTTGCAAATAGACATTATTGTATAAGAGAAATGCCATGTGCTTTAAGTATTTCAAGTAGTAAAATATAAAAACATTTTATTATAATCACAACAAGAAATAAATGTAAGTATAGTTTTAATTATATTTCCTTCAGACCTTATTTCAAAATTAGTGAACTGTAAGGTCACTCTTTTTTTTTACTGAGGAAGATTTGACCTGAGTTAACATCTGTTGCCAATCTCCCTCTTTTTGTACGTGAGCCGCCACCACAGCATGGCCACTGACAGACGAGTGGTGTAGGTCCGCACCCGGGGAACCAAACCCAGGCTGCTAAAGTGGAGCACGCCAACTTAACCACTAGGCCACCAAGACTAGCCCTGTAAGGTCACTCTTTAATTATATCAACCCATAAGTACTAGTTTAATAGAGAATATTTATGTTCATTTCCTTGATGTCTTCAAATCACTAAGTGAGGGATATCTCCCAGGATGGAAACACTGGCAAGCTACAGGGAGGTTTAGAAGTAGAGTTGGGCACATTTCCCTTTCACCTAAGATATAATAATTTCAGAACTGCTTCTTGTTTTAAGTTTTAGAGATGGTACATAAATAGATTTATAAAATATAATTTATAAATATACATTTTTTAAAAATTTTAAATAAATAAGAATATAAATTTATAAATAAGTATAAAAATGGTATACATAAACGCACCTGGCTCAGTGCAAGGTACTATACATAAACAATAAATAATACCTGTTGTTGAATGTTCATCTTAAAGGTCACTATTTACTAAATGGTGAGACTCCAATCAAAGAAAATAAAACAAGTATAAACTAATAAAACTGATATAATAAAACAGCTTTCTACTACAACTTCCATATTTACAGAGGCCATGCTAGGAAAAATCTATGGAGCTAGCCAATAAGGATAGAAATAAGTTCTAAGTCAAGTATATGCTTCTGCCTTTATTTCTGTTAATATCACTAGTATGAAAATGCATCCAAATGTTGTGAGGGGAAACGAGAAACTAGACAAAGCACACCATCCTATGGTAGGCCATCTATGTGTTCCCAAAGAGTGAACTCCGAGTCACCACAGTGCACTCACAGGAATACCATGGGGTATGTGAAATTTCAAGAGCTGAACAGCAACAGTCAATGTCTGTCAGACACCATGCAAACTTCTAGCTCAAAATACTTGACTTTTTTCAACATTAGAGCATGCTACTTTCCTTCTGATGATGTCCTCTTTTCAATGCGAGGTTTTCAGCTGTTGCTGTAATAAAAAGGAAGTCCATGCAAAAATCAATTTGGAACAGGAAAAGAGGGTGGCAGTACCCAATCTGATTCTCAGGTTTGAGAATTTGAACAGTGTCCAAAAGAAACACACATCTTCCATTAACAAATAATGTGGTTATTTATGAATAAAATTTAATTTTTTTTTCATTAAGTTGTTTTGATATAAATACTAATTAAGTTGTTTGGAAGTAACTATTTAATAAAAAAAGAAAACTATTAAGTATTTCTTTTTGCCTAGGAGATACCATGGAAAATGGAGAAAATAAAGAGTCAATGAGTCAAGAAATTGGGAACTTCAGGGTTATCTGTATGCCAAAGAATATAAAATGTGTATATATACCTCTACTGTGGCAAAAAAAAAAATCGATTTTTAAATTCAGATTTTAAGTTTTTTGTTGAAAAGTGCTGACAAATATTTACTGACCAAAATTAGTTTTTCTTTATTTACCGTTTTTTTCTGTAGGCAGATCTAATAAACAATCAAGTTACTTATATTATTTGATGAACCTAAAAGTGTGTCTATATCCATATGAATAAGGGACTTCTGCTTCTGGCCAAGATAATAATATGAACAAGATTCATTCTCCTGCCTGAAATAACCAAAAACATAACAGGCAAAACATAAGAAACAACAGTTCGCAAGCCCCTGGACCTCAGGCAATAAGAACAATGAGGCTGAGGGATGGGAAATCAATGACATAAGCCCCACTACTGACCCAGCTCCGAGGCTTGCGAGTCTCCAGGCCGTAGCCCTGGGAAGGGTGCCAGGCTGACTCCCTGGGTTGAGGAGACTAAGCTGAGAATCCAGGGAAACCAAAACAGCTCGAGTTCACAGAAAAGAGGACTGGAAAGAGCTGCACAGAAAAAGGACTCTGGAGACCTGCGCAAGGTCCACTCCAGCATTCAGCTGATCACTGATCATTGCATGCATGGGAGGAAATACCAGAGGCTGGGCAAGAACCACCCAGAGGATTCGAGGTACAAGTGCTGGTTCTCACACAGAGCCAGACTGAAAGACTTCATGATTCACAGTGGGTATAAAGCATACAGAGGGTTTTGCCTCAGTGGTGGGAAATAATTACACCTAGTCTGAGCACCGTTCAGTACTGCCTAAATCTTAAAAGCAAGACCTCAAAGGAGCAAACTGTTTCCAACTAACTTTGTGTCCCAGAAAAAAACTCAAGAATACTTACAGGAACACAAAATAACCACCTAACAAGGTAAAAATCACACTATCTGGCACCTAAATCAGAAATTATCAGGCATGCAAAGAAGCAGAAAATATAACATATATAAGAAAAATCAATCAATCGAAACCAACCTATCATTGACACAGATGTTATAATTAGTAAACAAAGACACTAAAAGCTAATGTGTGTGTGGCAGACACTAATGCATACAGATGCTAATACAAGGAGACTTGAGGAACATTTATAACCCAAAATATTTTAGAGAGGTCTAGCAATAAAAACTAAAATCATAAGTGACTTGCCACAGAAACTTTTATACATGGGGAAGACAAAAAGCCAGAGGATTTAAAAAGGAAAGGATATTATTTACATGATAGGAACAGAGAACAAAGTTGCAGTATAATTTGACATTATGCTTTATTGAAGGAATAAATTTTTGAGTTGTAAAACACCTTGGTAAATGTGTACTCCTAATTAATTCAACAACTTAAGTGTATTTTGTAAAAATACAAAAGTAAGTTATACCTATCAATATTTGCTTCAAAATAAAGTTTTGCTTACAGTTTTAAAAACAGTTAAAAGAACAAAAACATAGACAAAGATGGTGAAATTAAAGCAATCATGTAGCTTCACTTCCTCCTAAAATTCTTCTAAAATACTGTAGAGTTTAAAATGTACAAACTCTGAAGGAAGAAGAAAATGGGAAAGGAAACAATTTAGAAACTAGAAAGCAGATGTCTAAGTAGTCAAGGACTGACTTAGGCGACCCCAGGCGAGGAGGAACAAATTTATACTGCAGACCTCCCCAAAAGGCAGAAGAAATTGGAAGCAATGCAAGTAGTGGTAAGGGTGGGGCGAAGACTGGCTGAATTCTTAAGGAGCAGCTGAATCTCCACATCCCCTGTCCCCAAATAGCTGTTTATCTAGCACTCCCTAATTCCCCAAGCAAAGGCTAGAAATGTATTCCTAAAGAACTCTCTTTCTGGAACTGGGTTTTGAGGGGCAGTTGATGGGATCATTTACACACTGAAGGCTGAGGTGTCCAGCCTTCATCCCCATTCTACACCCAGAGTGAAGGCAGCCCAGCCCACACATTGTGGGCAGGAGATTGAAGACCTTTCCCGGAGGAGTCTGACCAGCCCAGCAAACAGAAAACAACCTGAAGAAAGCAACCACTGAGAAGGGAGAAGAAAAATCTCAAAAATCCTCAGAGAGTTAAGAAAAGATACTGCATCCTTAAAACAAGTAAAAAATGCTATTAAAAGAATTCAAAATATAAAAAGGAACTCTTGAAACTAAAAATATGATAGTAGAAATGAAAAACTTAATAAAGGGGTTAGAAGATAAAAACTGAGGAATTCTCCCTCCAAGTAGCAGCAAAGACAGAGATGGAAAATGGTAGAGAATAGTATAAAAATTAGAGAACTAGGCCAAGAGGTTCGTTCAGAAACTGAACGACAGATGACTCACCAAGAAAAAAAAAAAAAAGGAAGTATAAGAGAGAAAAATCATCAACATAACATATACTTTTAAAACAAAACTGAAGTATAAGAGCTTCCAAATGAAAAGGGACCACTGAGTTCTCATACAATGAAAAAATGAGATGAAAACGAAAAAAAGCCAACTAATAGCAAGGTAAGTACACAACGCAGCAGTTGAGTATAAATACCAAAAGAATCTCTTACAGAGTAGGAAGTGACTGTGGGTGGTGCTGCTGGTGGTTAGACAGCAGAGAGTGGGAGACAGAGACTCAGGTTTTTCACATCAGGCCTTACAGAACTACATATTTTAATCTACGAGCCTATCAAACTTCATTTAAAAAAAGGCTTTAAGATCATTCTACCCAGAAGTTACATTTATCCAATTGTAGTCCATTCTAACTCAGAAAGAGTTTAAGATTAATTCCTTCAACAGTGAGTTCTGAGCCTAGTAATTATTCAATATAAATATAATTTATCCCTATGTTCTCTTTCTGTTTCTTAAACAGAAAATAAAGG